TTTAATAAAAATGACAAAATCTTACCTTTCATTGATATCAAATCCAGGAAAGTCATCCTTTGTTAGAAGGGTTTTATACTGTCTTCTGAGTAGCAGCTGAAAGTATATATTGACAAGCAAAGTCAGAAAACATTTAAGATTATAAATTCGGCATTTTTTCCCGCCAATTCAATATGGCGGACAAAAGGTTCCTTCGAGACAAAGAACTGATTCCCGTTAAGTCAAATTGCTTCGAACCAAAACAAGCAATATGGCTTATTACTTTCATTAAGTTGTAACTTTAATTCTAAGTAAGCTTAATTAGAGTTCAATGAAGCACTTGACTCGAACAATGAATGGCTCGCATGGTGGTTTTATAGTGAATAGAACCATTATTTTATAAAGACTCATCTTTTGTTCTGCTTCATACTTACACTGCATGCATTTGGAACATTAGATGTCCGCCTTCTTCTTACTCCCTTTCTGGCTCCGATGTCATTTTTGACGTTCTTTTATGTTTTTAAGTTCATAAAGAACCTCTCTTGTTGAAGAAGCATGTTCTTCTTGCTGCTTCTGGATCTGTTGGAGTTCTTCGCGTAGTTTCTTATTTTCCTCCAAGAGTTGTTTGCTGTTATTAACAGATTGCTCTATCAAAACAACTTGCTGATCGTCTAGTGGCAATTCGTTTTCCATGCCAAAAGAAGAATGGAACAAATATATATAACTGAATATAACTCCAAATGCTCTAGCAGCCGAAGCTTCGGTGAAGTGTTGTTTTGGCGCGCAAATTACCGTACCAACGGACTTGATCTCCTAGATGAACAAAAAATTGTTGCAAGTGGGGGTTGGGCTGAGGAGTTGGGATGTGCGATATTTTAATAAATAAATGTACGGGAGAAAATGAATTATTAACAGTATATGAATTAAATTACTATCAGTGGACTGTATATGACCTGAATTCAAAAATACTAAATATGTAAAAATAGTAGTTTTTCTATTTTGTGTTAACAAATACTTTGGGGGAGAGGAGTAGGGAAGTATGTGTTCGTTCACAGGCCTCTATTTGTTAGTCACGCAAAGTAAACATTTCGTTTCGTGAAGATAAATTCGATTAATTATAGTAAGGAGTATCTCTTTAACATATTTTAGAAAGATCGTGTGTCTTATGGAGGAATCGCCTACATCTGTGTTTTGTGACCATTGCAATGAGGATGTTTCGAAGTCAACATATCGACGACACAAGTTACTAAAGATACGAGATCAACATCTACGAAAGAAACTAAAGAAGGCTGACGATGACTCTGAGTCTGATTGTGAAACAAGTAGCGAAGAATTTTCCGATGAACACATACGCGAAGGTATTTACACCTATTTCTAAAAACGTTGTCGTCGCCAGCAATCAGTCCACAGTCTTGAGCCTTCAAAGAATCTCGGGATTGCCATATATTATGTGTTAAATTTCAGTTATTCAAAATACTCCGATTTAGAGTTCTGGTTTGCTCTGTGTTAGCTCCAAAACCAATCAACATATTCTTTTGTTTCATTGATATCCCGAGAAAACGCATGGAATACTCCAATTTCGAGTATTGGTTTGCTCTGTGTTAGCCTTAAAACCAAGCAACATATTCATTTGTTTTATTGATAGCCCGAGAAAACGCATGGAATTTGTGAAAAAAGACAATAAATTTGATTTGAAATCTCACACTTTTACACTCACAATAAGGAATATTTTGCGCACAAATGAGGCTAACACAGAGCATTGGAGAATACGAAACTGGAGTATTTGAAAAGGGAGACAATAGAATTGATTTGAAATCTCACACTTTTATTCTCACAATTAGGAATATTTTCCGAGCAAATTAGGCTAACACAGAGCATTGAAGAATACGAAACTGGATTATTCTTGGTCTCTTAGCGAATATAGCTTTGAAACTCATTGACGTTTTAAAAACGTGGAATATTCATTTCAAGGAAAATGTCTCATGGCGAGACTTGTTCGATGAGCCGCAATAGTATATTAGTAGTGTTTGCCGCCTTTGAATTCAAACCACAAAATATTTTGAATATATAAATTACGCATGGAAACCCCGAGATTCTTTGCAGGCTCAAGACTGTGGACTGTGTCGTGGTGACGACAACGTTTTTTGAAANACATGTTTGTTCATCAAAAAAAACAATTAATTTTAGCGCCAAACCAAAAAAAAAAAATCGGATACAAGTTATCAATAGAAAAAAATCTGGCTAACGCGACCACGCTATGAAAAAAACTAATTGGATTAGAATTTTGTCTCAAAAAAAATTTTGATCATAGCTATTCTGGACAAAAAAATATTTGTCCTCAAACGCGACCCATAAAAAAAACTTGGACATTTGACCTTGACTATAAAAAAAACATATTGTTTTTTCCGGATCTATAAAAAAACCAGGGTTTTTCTCAACTGTTATAAAAAAAATGATGACGTAAATTATTCTGTGCCAAAAAAACTTGATTGTTTGTTTTAAGTGTAAAAAAAAAACAGTGATATCCCATTTGAATTTGAAAAAAAACCTTGACTCCAACATGATACAACAAAAAAAAGTGTGTTCAAAAACTCAGCTCAAAAAAAAAGTGAATTTTGTTAGCAATGAGCTTAAAAAAAAAAMGAGCTTTATGCACATAGTTTTGCCATATAGTTTTACTTGTTGTACTTGTGCAAAAAAATACAAAGGTTAAGTATGTAACACTAAAAAAAWTTATAAAGTAAATTTCGTTTGAAAAAAAAATTGCTTTAAAACAGGTTTATGTGCAAAAAAACTTGGCATATAGTTACTGGTTGTAAAAAAAATTACAAATTCAAGACAGGCTTATAAAAAAAACTATACCTTAGGAACATAGATGTAAAAAAAAAATTCTAAGATCTTTAAAATGATTAAAAAAACAAGATAACTTGGCGTAGTTTTAAAAAAAAAAAGGATATAAAACACTAATAATGGAAAAAAACNGATGAGCCGCAATAGTATATTAGTAGTGTTTGCCGCCTTTGAATTCAAACCACAAAATATTTTGAATATATAAATTACGCATGGAAACCCCGAGATTCTTTGCAGGCTCAAGACTGTGGACTGTGTCGTGGTGACGACAACGTTTTTTGAAATAGGTGTATATCAATTTTTATGACGTCCAGTCATGATTTGAGCTACTGTACCATATGAAAGTGCACACGACAATTGCCAATAAAAGCGGGAAAAGCGCGGGAAAATTGTGTTGACTACCATCTAAGCTTATATAAGAACCTGTGTAGGTTACTTCCCAAAAATGTAGGTTCTTATATGAGGATTTCTACTGTAACTCAAAAGAATATGATAAATGACTTGTGTAACAAAGCATATGCCATTCTGTCACAGTGCAATATCCAAATAGTTTTTTGACTGTCAGTAAGAACCTACAATTTTCAAACGTTGGCTAAATACATGTACATGAAGGTGTATAGAGCAAGTTATTCATGATTTACTGTATATACTTATTGATGAGGAGGATCCACAATCAAAAGTGGCGTTTTTCAATGTCTCATTATTTATGTAACTGTCCATTCACAATATTGTTGAACCCCAACTTTATCTCATACAGTAAGATCCTGCACTTAGTGGATTAACAACACCCAGCTTGATTTATGGCATTTTAGGTACCATGTAAATAAGAACATAATAAGCCTGTAAATGACTTTATTGTTTTTATGTCAGAACAATGAATGTATATAATGTCAGTGCATGTTTAACTTAAAAGTAACAAATCTCTATCTCTGATACTGAGTTCCTTCATCATTTGAAATACACATATCAATCAATATCTAATCAATTAATTTTCATTGTAGATGAATGACAACCTGCTCTCACAAGTGAATGGCAACCTAGTAGATGTGAGTGATGATGAGCATTTTTTTATTAGTGAATCAGGGGAGAGCAGCAGTGATGACATTGAAAACATTCATGTGCAAAGAGAAAGTGTCAATGACACTGCTGAATCAGACCATGAAGAATACTGGGATGAAGTATCATCACAGATCTTAGACAAGGATATAAATGAAACTCCATTGCCTGAACCAGAAAACAAGAAAACAAAACTACAAAAGATAAACCATCTGGTATTTTGGCT